AAACTAGTAATGAGACTCCGAGTTGCACAAATACTGCAAATTTCTAGGAGAGAAAGGCCTTACATAATAAAATTTTTCGTTAGAAAATTATGTCCTTTTTCCACCAAACATTTCATTTGCTTCCTGTTAGAACGTTCGTAGTAATTGAAGCGCTTTGCCATTCCTTCATACTGTAAATATTTTCACCAGCTTCGTAAACAAAGCGTTGTCTGATCGTATAATCGAAGCCTGTCTGATTCCACGGCTGCCCAGAGCTCTACTACAGCAACGGTCTTCAGCGAAACCCAAAAATTAAAGCCTTTATCCTAAAAAAATCATTAATAAACAGACTGATTCCTATGTTATTTAACGAGGCTATTTCAACTGTACGTCCACCCACAGTATGAATAACGGTATAGTGATTACGGATGATAAAGTAGAAGGAATGTGGTGGCTTATTTTATGGTACTATCTCAACACCAGAGAATCTGAAAGAATCTAAATATCTACTCAGCAGATTGTTCTCGAACACCGTCAAACTGCATTCATTCCTTAATGTGAGAGACCCACACAAACAACAGGTAATATTCTATAAAAGCTGTATATATTTTAATATTTTAATTTTAGATTGTATAGGGCAAGACAAAGATTTGGACCGCATTGATATTAATAGTTACAGCCACTAAAACTAACACATTCTAAAGTAAATATTTAAACACTGCAAGTCATTTATATGTACAAATAATCTGTTTGGAGGTGCACAAATTGGTTTCTTAAAATACAGTTGAACAGCAAATTTGTTTTGGAGACATCTGGTGAAGTTCGATGTAGTTAAACTTCACTGAAGTTGTGGAAAAAATTACAATCCGAATGAAGTCGGTGTAGAAAGTTGCCAACAGATGAAGATGAAAATTCTGCCATCATCTCCTTTTGTCTCATTCTGGCCAGATTAGGTACAGTTAAACAACAGTGAAAGTTGTTAAGCAAAGCTTATTTGGAGAGACGCCGATTAAAAGACAAATGGACATTTTACTACCTCGGACTAAGCAGAGAGAGGTGATGTATTGAGAAACAGAAATATAATAATTCTATAACAATTATTATTTTATTTTCTATCTTCCTTCTTATCTATTTCAAAATTAATTATCTTCTCCTTCTGTTTCTTTTATTTTCTCCTTTTGCGCCACCTTATTATGTTTACTGTTATTACTACTTTTCTTATTCCTGTCATTCTCTTCCGACATTCAGTGTGTTACTGTTGTAAAATCAACTCTACAAATTGCTTACCTAGAAACCTGCGTGTCCATGCAATACAGAATTCTAATTAATAACCATAAATTTAGCTCGCAGAGCCTGAAACGAGGCTTCGAACTTCATTTCTTAAAACCCTGGTCTAGTCTTCGCCACAGACTTCCCTTCTTTTTGACTTCCAGCCTGGAACCGTGCAACGGGCAGCTGGAATCACGTCCGCTAAATATAGACGCGTGGTCTTTAACCTGCTGGGGTTGAACTGCGAGGGAAATTTTATTATAGCCACACTCCCTTCTGTCTCTAGTCCCTTGGTATAAGCTTCGAAGAAACTGTTCTATTAACACATCAAAATGTAGCTTCTAGAGGGCTCGGAGCTGTTACAACTAAGCGTGTCACAAGTCGCTAGCTCATTAAACAGTTGATTTCCAAAATAGATATTACCATATATACAATTTCCGATTGGAATGTTGATTCTTAGAAATAGTTACTTCAAGAACATGATAACTAAGTTAATGGCAAAAGTTCTTCCTTGATAAACTGATACTTATTGAAATGTGAAAGAAAGACAAATGCCAGGAGAGAAAGGAAAAAAGAAGGTGCTGGTAGAAGGAGAAAACGGAAAAGAATACTAAAATAATAATAATAATAAATAAAATAAGATTAAAGAAGTGAAGAAAAACGCAATCAAAAAAAGTACGGTGCAACATTTCCAAAATATTTATTAGCTACCGATACTTCTCTATATTAATAATTCTTTCCTGCAGTCTGATGACGAGACGTGATTACAAACTTCTTATTCTCTGTGTCTGTAGGGATTGCCTGGACATGAGTAGAGTTACGTACACTTAAGACTGCTCCATCAAGGAGTAAGGAGGTTGTAAAGGTAAATGTGAGAGTGTTATTAACATCGGCACCACAACGAACAGATAAACTCAACAAAGAACAAATTATGGAGGAGGGAAAAACAAATAAAATAGAAGACGTAAAGGTGTCGTCCAAAAGCATAGAGCTTTACATTCCACAAGACTCTATAAAGTATGTCGTACAAACTGAAGTAAAGATATAGTATTTTAAATTAGCATTTTATAACATCAAATGAACGTATTTAGACGTGATAAGCAGGGAAGTGTTTTAGCAGGGAGAGACTGTCTCTTGAAACAGTCGCGCCAGAGAGCTACGTTTTGCAGAGAACCAATAGAACACCTTCGTTACTGGGTCAAACGGTGAGCTCCGGTCGTGTCAAGTATGTTTATATTATAACCCACCCATCACCGCCAAACGGTGTCTTTAACTTCACTGTGCGAACATTTAACATCTTCTACAAAGTATATTTCGCACCAGCTTTGTTACGATGACGTTTGTATAAAACTAATTACAAAGACTTGTTCTTCATGCACTGCAGGGCTTACGTTAAATTGTAATGATTTGAAAGAAGCTAATTTAAATTTATTCCGTTTAGTTGCCTTGGAGACTGAACACGCGCGCCTCGCTGCTACGACTTCCATATTCGTGCGAAGATCGTAAAAATAACTAGCAATGGTGCGAGCTGGTAATGGCAGAAGAAGCGAGACTTGGTGAGGCACTGAGCGATATAACCCGCTATATTTAACCACTTTTCTCTCCATACGGCTGTCGGGCGGGAATGGTGGATCATCCACATGTGCGTGACCGTATGCGAGCGTAAAATAGGAGCGAGCCCACATGGAAATGTCAACTCATCTGAGAATCCTTCCTTCGTCTCTACGTATTAACATTTTCTTGGTAACTGAAGTATATATACACATGATGCTTCCAGCGAGACACGGAAAGAGTTCCGACAGTGCCAGACACACTTCTGTCACGATACGTTCCAAGAAATAAATTAGAGATCTTTATATTTTAAGTTGCCAGAGCATGCAATAACACTCACCGAGTCTTGAACCAAGTACAGCCAAGTGGGTGGGCTATGTACCACTCAGGACGTTCTGCATTTCGTTGCTAATTATCATCTGAAAAACAAAGACACACAACAACGTAACTACAAATACTTCAAAGGGCTGGAGTACCTCAAAGTAGATACCCACAGACACGCATAGAGATAAAGTAATTCCACAAGCCTGATATTTATAGGATAAACGGGGCCGTGTACACTAGTAGGTATAAACCACCGTTTCGGGGGAACACATTATCTCCATCGTCTGGGTTGAAGTGGCATTGCTTGGGAAGTGGGGAGATTATACAGAATCAGAGGAAAGACCTTTACAATTCTTATATAAAATCTATAGTTGACAGCATCGCCACTTCATCCCTGAAGTTGGGAACATTCATTTCTCCGAAATGTTAACTACCTACGAGTCTATACGGCGTCTCACCATGGTCGAAGAAAACAGTTAACAACAATAAATGCATACATTACTGCTATTTATCTGGATTTCATCAATACTTCGGTATTCTAAAAAGATACCGCTACGTTTCGGAAGCTGGCTCTGCTCCCGTCTTCAGGTAAAAATGCCCATTCTGTTGGGTCCGGTAGAAAAGACTAATACCAATCCTTGGATTAGCAGAGATTGGGTACAGCCCCTTCTATCGTACCCAACAGAATAGGCATTTTCACCTGAAGACGGGAGTAGAGCCAGCTTCCGAAACGTATTGTCAAAATAATACCAAGATTTTTAAAATTACGTAACCTGCAAGTGAATCAACATTGAAAGGGTTAAATAAATGGTCCACTGAAAGGCACGCAATAAATTAATTGCATCTCCGTAAAATCTGTTTGCACATGTCTAACTCTTTCTTTAATTCATATACGTTTCTTTGTCTGTTTTATTTGGTTATTAAGAGGATGTTATTGCATTTAGTCGCCGCGAAAGCCTCAAGTCATATATGATTCACCTCAAATAGTATTTGTAGAGAAGTGTATATTAATAGTCTGTCATAAAGCAAAATAATATCTTCGATGTATGCTTTACAATACTTCTTTCTACACATTATTTACATTTAATATTAGAACAGCGACTTTATTTTAGAGTCTTTAAGTTATAGTCACTTAAAGCCCTGTATCAGCTGCAAAGTACATTTAATCTCAAATAAGATTAAATAAACTTGAAAGAATGTAAAAATAATCTTTAGTGATCTATATCAAGAAATGACCCTACTTTCCCTGTATTTGCTATACAATTATCAGGTAAAAGACAAAAGTACTGAGCTAGATCTGTAGGTCTGCTGGCAGAAGATCGAACCTGGAAACTCCCAGAAACGTAACCATTACAGAACAGTATTCGGGTTATCATTGACTAACCGCGCTGTTCTAATGACACTGTTTCACATCCGCAACTGTTATAGTAAGACGGTGTTAGTGCACCTTGAGGCAACTATGGACAGAAGCCAATAACTGTGATCAAAACACACTGACTGACGCATTGGGGTTACAGCATCACAAAACTAGAGGATTTACTTATTTTAAACAAGCCTCATTCTGTTTGCAGAAGTACTGATGTATGTCCAATATATTACTTCTGGTACAATTCTACAACCCTAAGGATATT